AAAAAAAAATTATGTTAGAGAAAGTCAAGTACATTTCAATTAAAAGAAATACAGACCAGTACATAAAACAGATTCTAAGGTTTTCAGGTAGAAGGGACAGAGAAAGAGGTTGGCAAAAGAACTGAGCTTTGCATCCTTCATCATCCATTGGTCCTTCGGTGAAAAATACTACCATGAAAAATAATTACATATATATATATATATATTAAAGCAACACATAACTTCATAATATACAAAATATAGAGCAGTACTTGTGTAACTAAATGTGTATGGTGAAATAGCTCTCATTTCACAGTATATATTCTAAGTATCTACAATGCTCAAGGACATCTCATAATAATGCTTTGATACAGTTTTCACTCATTAATAATGTTGTTGTCCTATTAGGAAAGTTTATGTATATCACAGACAATAATGTTTTCATTTCTCATTTTCTCAACCTCTAAAAATGAAGATAAAATAGCATATATCTCTTAAGAATGTGATAATGATTAGATAAATTAAACACACATAAAGTACATAGAAAAATATCTCTGTTCCCCCATTCATGTGGTTATATCTAAAATTCTCAGATATTACATGTAACTTCAACAAAGGAAATTCTTTATCACACCCATTTTATATATTGTTTCCTTATAAACTTTATTTGTCAAAAAATAATGCTGCATAGAACTGGTTTAGTTAAATGTATACAGTCTAAATAAAAGCACTATTATTACAGTTGATGCCTAAATGAATTTTTGCATTAGGTGAAAATAATAAATTAGGTACAACCTACAATATACACTATTGCATATCTATTCATGGCGAGATAGACTTGTAAATACTTTTCTATAAGAAAATTTACTTGAACATATACTTCCTCATCATATTGAAGTAAATATCAGAGTAATCTAAAAATACAGTATATTCCTTTCTTGAGTCTGTTGTCCTCAACAAGCCCATATGCAGATCTGTAATGGCTACTGATACCACCAGCATATCAAACTGAGTTCTAAAGAGACTCAACTACATGAGACTGCACATAAGTGCTAAACCCTTTTGTCCATGAAGTAATATTAAAAGTTATATTCTACATTTGCTTTGGTATAAAGAGAAATATGCTGATATTATGTATTGAAACATAAAAATCCACTAGTTTATATGGATTAAGAGAAACCAAAGTATGCCCACAGACTCCTACAGCCTATGGGATAAGTTGGCCCTGTAGCCACAGGTAATCAAATACATAAATGACCCTTCCAGGTAATATAAATAATTGAGATTTGCTGAGAATAACATATTCATTGTGAACTAATTTCCTCTCTAGTGACTGCAGATAAGAGCATAAGAAGTGTACTTAGTTGGAATGAACATGCTTCAAATCCAGTCAGCTGTAACAGTTCCATGATAGAAATGTGTCTGATGTTTTAAAATATAACTTATTTGGATAAAAGTTGAATATGTAGATTTTGATACTACATGCTATTTTAGAATGTCTGTGTATAATTAATATTTAAAGCAGTCTAGGAATCATTGACAAATAAAGAGTATCTGTCCACTGCACCCACATTGCAACCATTGACTTTCAGTCAGTGTATGAAAGTGACAGAATTAGTAGGGGTGGTAAAAACTAGTTTGGCATTCAAACATCCTATAATCTAATGTGTCTTCTCTCAACCTTAGGAAAAATTCAGATGGGTCTCTGATAGTAGCCTGATTTTACAGTAAGAAATCATCCCCAGAATTATGTTGCATCCAAATACTGAAATACAAATACAGAACTGAAGAAACAGAGAATATGATTCTTAAAAGTGGGAAGAGGTAGCTCTCACAGGCACTTTCAACAAATTTCTGTTCTGTTGCCCAGAGTGCTGTTGGATAATGGATAAATATACTCTGGAAATTAAAAATTATTTCATGTTGGGAGAATTTGTCTTTCTTGGGCTTTCTTCCCACCCACAGCTCCAGTTTTCTTTGTGCTAGTTTCGTGGATGTACTGATGATCCTGCTGGGAAATGGAATCCTTATCTCAGTTACCATCTCTGATTTTCATTTGCACACTCCCATGTACTTGTTCCTCTCTAACCTTTCTTTCTTGGACATTTGCTAGACAAGTTCCTCTGTTCCACTAATTCTTGACAACTTTCTGACAGTAAGGAAAGGATTTCTTTCTCTGGGTGCATGGTACAAATGTTTCTCTCCTTTGCTATGGGGGCCACAGAGTGTGTACTTCTAGGAATGATGGCACTTGACCGCTAAGTAGCTATTTTCTCTCCACAGAGATACCCTGTCATAATGAGCCTATGTGCCCATGGCAGGTGGATCCTGGATTGCTGCACTTGTTGACTCAGTGGTACAGACATCTCTCAATGTGATTACCATTCTATGCTAATAATGTCATTAACCATTTTGTCTGTGAAATTCTGGCTATCCTAAAACTGGCCTATGCTGATATAACAATCAATGTGAAAAGCATGGCAGGGTGAAATCTGAGTGTTCTGGTCATTCCATTACTAGTAATTTCCATCTCTTACATTTTTATTGTTGCTACCGTTCTGAGGATCCCTTCCACAGAAGGAAAGTGTAAGGCTTTCTCCACCTGCTCAGTTCATCTGACAGTGGTGACTATAGTCTATGGAACCATCTTCTTCCTGTATGCCAAGCCAAAGTCAAAAAGCTCTTTTGGCATAGATCATCAAAATATCTTTAGAGTCCTCATCTCCCTCTTTTGGAGTGATGATCTCAATGCTCAATCCTCTCCTCTACAGTTTAAGGAACAAGGATGTAAAGGCTGCTGTGAAGAACATGCTGGATAGGAAAAATTCTTCTAAATGGAACGTGAATATTGATTTATATTATACAAACTCAGTACTGAAGCAGCTGCAGTTCAAAAAGAAAAATCACTGTATGAAAACTAATTCACCAAGTAACATTCTAAACAATATGGTAGAAATATTTTGATTGCTGTTCTTACTAGTTTTTCTTCTAACACAGAAATAAAACATGCTTGTGACTTTAAAAATATTATTATGAAATGAAAAATGTTGAAAATTCCTTATAAAGTAATAACAAAACACACTTAAAACTTTAGAAAATAGTGAATGCAAGACATTTTCTAAAAAGCACTTTTTAACCTGGGGCATTATTGATTATGCAAAGAAAATATAAAACACATAACATTATCTTTATTTTTTATTTGTCCATGTATTTACTGTTTGGGTGCACAGTACAATGTAAGATCTCTGTGATGGTAATACTTGTCAGGTACTAACACTTGTCTGTTTATTACCTGACAGCATCGCAAAGACATAGGCTTGAGATTGACACATGATAGATACTCGATAAATATTTTTCAATAAAGTTAATCACATAATGTGTAAATGTATGCCTGTTATATCTGGTTATTTAAAGGTTATTTAACAAAGGTTATTTAAAAAGAAAACTGATTCAATGCAATATTTTCGAAATAAATTACACAGGCATTTTCTCATGGAAACTTCCTTAAAAGTTAAAGTGTTACCTCTCACTTTCTATGTGCTATTTATTATAAATAGAAGAACACCTGACCCAGCACTGCAAGCTAGCCGCAGCCGCTTCAGTGCAAATCCATCCTCTGGCCCCAGAGGTGGCCCACATGATGAGCAGGCCTCTCCTGTCTTGTCTGCTGCTTCCCTCAGCAGTGTATTTCCATGACCTGCCTATTCTGCTCCCCACTCTGTCTCTGGTGAAACCTCTCACACACCCCGCACCTCTGGCATATACCCCAGTTCTGTATGAATAAATAAATATTTTTTTAAAAAATAGAATAAGCAGAAAGTGGCATAGGAGAAGAAAAAGTTGTCCAATGAGCTGAGAACTAAAGGGGGTTAACATGAGGAGATAAAAGATTGACCCAAGGTTAAAATGATTAAATGGCTAAAGAGAGCAGCCTTGTGGAGCTCTACTAATGTGAGGATGGAAATGCCATTTCTGTTGAAGGAAATGAGCCAGATATATCCAGAGAAGAAAATACTACTTTTATGTAGCCCTTTAAGCTGAAATACAGAAGACAAATCTAAAATGAAAGACTCTAAGTACTTCTAAATTGCAAGAGTAAGTCCAGATTATCTCCCTTCCTAGCTGTTAACAGGTAATTATCGTTTATAAGATTAAATAACTCATGTAGTGCCTGGAACATTCAAAACATCCAATGTTGGCCATTTTAGAATTATTAGTGCTGGATATATTTTAATTGTTGAAGCTTTCAGTAGGCACAAGTCTTTCATTCTCACCTTTAGCAGAGTAATTTTGATGTTTCCACACTGTTGTCTGTCACCTTCAAACCCATTTTTCTATAATCTGTTTTGTGAGTTAGGATTAGACCAGTGAAAACCACATTTTTCCTTTACTAGCTAACTCCTGCTAAATAATTTCCAAAGAGTTACTGAAGAGAGTGAATAGAAGGTTGGATGAAGATAAAAGGACTTGGATCTCCCAATTTCCTTCATGCCCCTTCAACATTGCCTCAGCTTTAGTTTTTTGCCACAGTATTTGCAGCACCTTAGCTCCTTTCAGTAATTGTTTCAGTTTTCATTTCTTCTTTTTTCTAATGCACAACCAGAAGCCAACCCTTGCCACCTCCTCAGAGGTATGAATCTGTCACTCAGCTTTTTCTTTTAACAAATGAATAGGCCTGTCAATTCTTTCTTTATAGGCTCTCCTCTTGAGATATCTTTAAAAGCAGTAAAATAAGCAATTCTCTGCTTGGGAAATGTAGTGAATCAAATAGAGCATAAGCAATATATTGGTCAGACTATCATTTCCATACATCAATAGCAGAAGTACTGAGCAAGACATTTGTATTTCTTCTACAATAGCTTCTTGCTCATAAAATGTAAATTATGAAAGTCTCTTTAGCATACTCTAAAATGACATAATAATAATGATCATATAATCGGTGAGTAGCTCATTGACTAGTTCACTAAACCATGAAATGCTGTGAGAAATGAGAAGATGAGAACCTTTAAAAAAAACATAGGTTTAATTCATTTCTTTCATCAGTTTATAACTAGCACCCACCTGTGTTCTATGCCTGATGGACAGTAAGTATGCTATTTCTATAGTGTATAAGTAGATAAATGAGTGGGGGAAAAAGCAGCTTCAGAAAGATACAAATATTTTCCAAAATAATTTATCAAGACCACATTGCTGGATCTTCATGAAAAATACTCAAAGAACTAATATCTCCAACTTTACAGAAGAGAAAACTAACCCTAGAAACGGAAATAATTGAAGTCACATCAAGATGTGGGAAGAGTCTGATTTGAATAAGTTAACTAGCAAGTATAATAATTCATGAAATACACATTCTTCAAAAGCACGTCTAGAAAATGTGAACATTTTGTTAGACAAAACAAAAATCAGAAAATTTCCAAAAAAAATTAAACAGCACATATTTCCTAATTAAATCCTAATTAATCAATTAAAATGCCATAATCAGGGATAATTTAAACACACTTCTGAGCTATTAGTGATATTTAAAAATGTTTAAAAAGATGTATTTACTTATGCATAAAGGCCAGAGGTGTGGAGTATGTGGGATTCACCAGAGACAGAGCAGGGAACAAAACAGGCAACTGACTGAAATACACTGCAGAAGGGAGCAGCAGTCAAGACAGGAAAGGTCTGCAATGCCATGTGGGTTAAGCTACCTGGACAAGGATCAAACTCGTGATGCAGCACTGCAGATAGTTTCACAGTGCTGACAGTACACCTTGCACCACCAGGAAGGTTCCTATTCAACAACTTCTGTTAAGTGCTTCAAAAAATCTGAATAAATGCCTTCTATAAACAACCAATGTTGTGTATGCTATTACTATAGACACTATAATATCAAAATGTATGTAAGCTAAGTATCAGTTTTGCTTATATTCAAAGAAAAAAAATTACAATTAAAAATTCTAACCTTCAAAACTAGACCTGAACTTGCACTCACTGGCACAGCTCTACTAGTTGTATATAGTTAGTGTCCTTCATTATTTGTTGGTGCAAATCTTTGCAAAATATTTTTGATATCAACCCTACAGAGAAATCAAATATAACTAAGTACTGTATATTAAAATTTTCTGAACACAGAAACAGTAGCTTTTTATGGAAATATTCACATTTAAAGTTGTGTAGGAAACTTGGCTTCATAAGAAAAAGAGAATGAAGGACCAAGGAAAATGATAAGAAGGAACTATCTAGAAAATCTAAATGCAGAGCAATGTATTAAGTATTCACATATTGTTTACTTTTAAATCATCAGTAGTTTTGAAATATTATTACCTTGCTCTTAATTTATAGATGAGAGAATAACACTCACAGAAATTGAGGTCATACAGGATGTAAGTGATAGTTTTCAAATCTTAGTTTTGACTATAAAGACATGTTATTTCCTTGAATGGCTACTAGTCAAGAGGTAAATATCATGAAGTCCAACTGTATCTGAAGCTGTAAAATTACTCCTAGAATATTAGGGGTCCAAGAGCTTGGGTATTCTGACTGGACTTAATTTAGAATTCTCCAACACTATTTATAGAATATGAAGGTAAATTCAGTAGTCTATGTTGATCAAGTCTTCATAATTGTGGCAAAGGTTATGGTAAGAGTGGAAAAAACATTGGCTATCTTGAACCCAGTTTTGCATCATCCTCCTGAGAAATTCATTGATAATTTTGTATCTATATGTGATAGACAGCAAAGCACGAGAAGCCAAGGATTTTAGCCAACTAGAAAACTAATACATAAAATCAGGGTTTTCAATGATATACTTTAAAGGAGATGAACTAGCAGGTTGATGGACATTCAACTTGATACTGTTAGTGGTATGATTCTTGAGGAAAATATTATCTTTGCAATATATGATAGAAGCAAAGCAATTACTAACTATATTATTTTAAGGAGGAAAGAAGTAGAACCACTAAAAGGTTGGGTACAAGTAGGCTACCCAAGAGAGAGAAATACAACTATGTATAATCATCAAGATCACAAAAGTAAGAGCCTCATGGTATATAAAAGAAAGCATCTTGGCCCTCCCTGGTGGCGCAGTGGGTTATCGCACCACTAAGATGCTTAAGCCACTTCCACATGAGTTCGATTCCCACCCGCCCCCGGAGGTGACCACATGGCATGGCAGACCTCTCCTGACCCGCCCGCTGCTTCCCTCAGCAGTGTACTTTGTCTGCCTGTTCTGCTCCCCACTCTGCCTCTGGTGAATCCTCTCACCACCCCTGTACCTCTGACCTGTACCCCAGCTCTGTATGGATAAATAAAAAAAAAAGAAAAAAGAAAGCATCTTAACTCAAAAGGAAATTGGAGATAATTAAGATTAATGATATCAGAGATACTGATATGAATAGGTACTCTGATCATTTGGTTTCATAGTGGTCCTGACAAGCAGACAGGCAAGTCACCAGAATGAGTCTTATTGTCATAAGATTAGTAGGACCCTATAAAAGGTAAAATAACATAACTTTACTGAGCATAGATAGGAGATTTTTATGACTATCTCTGGGCAACACCCATGAAATCCCTGTAGAAACTGTTGGAGATTCATTTTATAATCATTACTTCATTGACTATTGAATCTTTCCCATGTATACAGGATATATACATGTCATTATGAAAACTTCTATTTTAACTTTTCTCTTGTAAAAAATAGAAAAAAAATGAGAAGTAAACATGACGTAATAAAGTTATATTAATTGACCCAGGTCACATGGCTAGGGAGTGTCACAGTTAGAAATAGATTACAACTTAACAAACTCCAACATTCATTTATCTCCCATCAGCTTATTGCTGAAGACCTTCCTAACCACCTCTTTAGCAAAGAGATAATATGGATTATTTTCAGTTTTATGACCTCTTATGTAAAACACCATGGTTCCAAAGAGACAAATTGACCTAACAAGACATCAGTTCTTTTCTATTTGTTATCTCAC